CCCGGGGGGGGGGGGGGGGTGGCAGGCTCGGTCTCCCGCTCATGCCTCCCCACGCTGCCTGCACAAATAATGCCTTCCAAGCCTGATTTCTCATCTTTGCTAATCGCTGACCTTTCAGCCAGAATTGGACTTTGCAATTAAACATCTTCAAGACATCCAGAACTTCAAATAACCAGTGTGTTTCCTCTCAAGGAACTAAATTATGCCTATATAGAGCATTCTGAGGCATCAGATCATTCACAGTAGGGGAATCTAAGGGTCCTGCAACAGTGTTCAGATCCTAATACTGCCCCCCAAAAATGTTTAATCTTTCAAAATTCATAAAGAAGCAGACAGTAACTTAGTATTTTAGTTCTGGAAATCTGTAAACATTTTAAAATAAGAGCACTTTATTCCAAAGGCAATTTAGAACCTATTCTCCCAAATAGACCTGTCACAGGCAATTTGCTGTCAAGTCCCCACAAACTTCCCGAAGCCCAGACAGTCTTCAAACACTGGATCTTCCAGATGGTTTACCCAACAAACATTTATGTAACTCCCAAATCTCCCTCTACAGAAATGGGCTGTAAAGTTTTGAGAAGTGAGGTGACAGCTACTTACAAAAACCAAATTGCTCCTTTTGCCTCAAGACCTCACATCTCTAAAAACCCATTAAGAGAAGTTTCATCCACAAGCAGAGAGGCTCCTAGAGGGACACAGAGCTGCCAGGGGGCCAGGCCCCACCACAACCACAGCTGGGGCTGTCTCTCAGCCCCTTGGCTGTGTGTGGCAGGGGGTCACAGGGCTAAATGACACTGAGGGATGACAGTGCACATACTTTCAAAAAAGTGTTTTTAAAAGGCAAAATAACAAAACAAAATAAGTAAATAACAAAACAAAATAAGTAAATAAAAAAGCAAAATAACAAAAAACGAATGAAGAGGCCCATAAACTTTAATATTTCTGATACTTCCGCAGGAACTTGGTTTCACGGTCCTGAGACAATCAGAATTCTTACCCACAGAATCACTTTTAAAATAGAGTTTTACTAAGAATCAGTCTTTAAAAAGTAGGTACCATTTGGGAAGTTAAGAGTCACACAGAACAGCTGACAAAAGAGTGCTTGAGAGAGAAAGGCATCCAAAAACAGGAGAGAGGGTGTGGGGGAGGCGACCCTGCCCCGCGGTAGTCTGCACCAACGTGACACGCTGCTCGGGAGAGCTGAGAGCCTGCCTTTCGGACACCTTCTAAAAAACAAATACCTTAAGACCCAAATTCCCTTGAAAACTTGATTGTTATTGTTCAAAAGACTCTAAGACCCATGACTTAAAATCTTCCTTCAAACATATGGAAAACCTAAGGTTTTTAAAACGTCCTGAAGAACTCCTTATAATAATGTCTTGCAGTTGCCATCCTTCTATTTAAAACCATTTTTCTCCCCGTAGTAATACCTGTATGAGATTTCATATAGTCGTAGCTAACATTTGATTTTAAAAAATTAAAATTTTAAAGGATTTAAACTAATGCTAATTTAAAAAACAAATAATACATACCTAGAGCAAACATGTTTCAAATGCTCCATGTTTTAATATTAAATTCCTACTTTTCACTGCTAAGGCTTTCTTTGAACAGGTAACAAAATCAAAGAATTCCCTACGTTTCTTGTAAAGGCCTCAACCCCTTTAGCCACTAACAGGAAGTTTTGCAATTATTTTTTAACCTATCCCGGGAAGAAATTAGATGGGAACTATTAACCCTTTCTCTTCCATTGCTAAAACACGGGAAAGCGGCTGGAGTCTTCTCTCACGTTGTGGGTGAGAAGTGCTGTGCTAGGAAAGGAGGGGCCTCTGTCCGCCGTGGGAAGATCGGGAGGGCTAGCAGGAGATAGTTACCCGGGGTTCTTTGGTTCACTCTCTCGTGAACTTCCTCCCTTCAGCTTCCTAACCAGCTTCTCACTGCTGCGTCTAATGGAAGCCCGGAGTTTGATAAAGGAACCACTGCGTTTTAAAGATCCAGTTCCATCCTGAAAAAAACGTGAACAAATGTGAAGCTGCAGACGGTCCTCCCTGTCCCCCAAGGTTCAGCCTGATGCAAACAGGAGCTCACACCACGGCCGACCCCGCCACCACCCCCTGGTGACGCCCATCCTACAGAAACCGCCCCTCTGCTGTGTACATAAATATGCTTTAAACAGAAATCTATCCATTTTTAATTTCATTAAAGATAACCCTATAATCATAAAAACCTTTGAACATAAGGAAGATCATTCAAACAAAAGTAATCACATCTCCAAAAGAAAATTAATTACAGTGCTGTTTTGAGACAAAAGACAACATACGAAGTCTCAAGAAAATTAAGGCAGCTAGGAATAGCACCAAAATCAAATTCTACGTTTAATGACTGTGTAAACATCTGGTCCAGGTAACAGCACAGGACTCAAACATTCAGATGTGACAGAGGCAATGTCTTCCCCCTAACACTTCCATCTAAGTGCAATACATAGGTGTGACGTTTCTTCAGTAAACTTTACAGAATGGTTTCCTTAAATGGTGACTATAAGTGGGGACGGAGAATTAAATAAAATACTCGTTCTATACAATAACTAAAACCCTCAGACGCCCTGCAGGAAGCGCCCACTGGCCTCATGCCTGATTCAGACATTAATAAGTGAAGTCCATGGCAGTGTCTGGGCATGAAAATCAAAAACACAGAGTGAAAACAATGTGTGGACAGCAGCTTTTATTCTCAGGATGAGTAAGCCCTGTTATTCTAGAAGCTCCACAATGCTGCACTCCATGGAAAGGGTGAGAAGTTCTACTTAGCAGACAGACACCGAGACACAGGTCAGTTGGAGTGAGTTTATTAGAAGTTAGAAAGACACAAATACACAAATCACTGAGCACTTGAAGATTAGTAGAGAAAAGCAGAGTTGCCCAAGTTTCACACAGACTACACGGCAAAGGCTACTGGAGCGTATCCTAGGGACAGCCGAGCCCGGGCGGCGCTGGCGGGCTCTAAATACAGTGGGGCGCGTGCAGCACACGCCTTACTCTTACAGCTTAGCTACGGGCCACAGGTCACCATCATGCTTTTGCAATAATACCTTGTGTGACACTTTAACTACCTGTTATCAGAGTGAACAACTAATCGCTCTTAATTTTTAAATTCGCGTATTACACAGTAAATGGATTTTATTAATACAGTTTATGTTTACTAAGTACATATCTGGTAAAGCTACATGTATACAGAAATCAGGAACCCCCCAAAAAGGACAGCAGCACCAAAAGGAATGGCCAGTCACAGAGAGGTGCAGCTCTGACAAGATCCTAGGGGACGCTAGACACAGCGGGCAGCACTGGAGAGAGAAGGGAAGCCGGAGCGGCGCCGCCCGTCATGCAGGAGGCAGTGTGAGAGTCACACGGGCGGCTAGGCCTGTCAGACAGAAACAAACAAGAGAGAAAGGCAGATGAAACCGCGCTGAGGAAAGGCGACAGGCTCCACTAGCACAGCCTGCTTTCCAGTATTTCTAGGTCACGAATCTCAGCAGCATTGTGAATGGCTTTAGTACAGGGGAGAACCTTCTACCCGCTCCTATCGGCCCAGCATAAAACAGGTGCAGGACCTTATGTGCATTTTACAGAATCTACACTGGTTTACTTCGACCAGTCATCAAAGTAAAATTCAACATTTTTAGACGATGGATTAACATTGTGTTAGAAATCTCCTTAATACTTAGTGTTAAAGGTTTTACAAGTAACTATACAAAAAGGAGATTCTGCAATGAAAAACATTTACAGAGACTAAAGTAAAGGTTATACATGGGAAGACAGATTCAATTAATCCTCTCGTTTACATCCCTGAACTATAAAGTTCTCCCTGAAATCAGTACGACTTTCATTCTCTTAAAAGCACAAAATTTTGGACATTTCAGAAACTTTAAGAAACCTCTGATTTTAAAGTCTACAGCACATTTTAAACATGCAGTTGATAATCCAAAACAAATGAATTTGCACAGGCCACAGTGCACCCTGGGTCCTGCTAACACTGGAAAGCCACCGGTGGAGGGAAGCGCGGGGACCTGCGCCCCGCCCGCTCGGACTCACCATGGGACGCTGAGCAAGTCATTTAACCAGCCCGAGCTTCATTTTTCTCATCTTTAAAATGGAAAAATAAAACTTGTTACCAACGCCTCAAGAATGTTGGGAGGACAAGAAAACATAAGTCTTTGCTGCTCTTCAGAAAAAGGATGCTAAATGCTAATACAGTTCCATAAACAGCACAGCTGCCCCCGCTACTCACGTCTAAAGCCAGCACTCCACTACAGTTGTGTTATTTACACTACACCTCAACTAGACACTTGGCAGAATGGGGAAGACTCCCTTCACTCAGATCCCAAAAGTACATCATGTCACACACACATACACACTCACAGCCACTGGAGTGGCAAGCTGGCAATGGGGCCACGGAGTCCTAGGCTTGGGGTCCCGGCCAGCTCCAGTGCTGCTGCCTCTCACCTCCCTGCACTTGTCACCTTAGAACCTCGGCTGATGACAACCAGTGGGAAGGACAGCTGGCCACCTGCCCCAACCCAGGCAGATTTCTATTCAATGTAGGCTTGAGGGATTGGGAGGTAACACTTTCAAAAACTGCCTATCTCTTTATATGGCCATGAAAGAATAGTCACGTTACAAAAGTGGGTTTCTAAACAGACATTAATAGTAAAATATAATGTTTAAAAAATATACAAGGCTGGCCAGTTAGCTCAGTTGATTAGAGTACAGTGTTATAACACCAAGGTCAAGGGTTAGGATCCCCATACCTGCCAGCCAAAAAAACAACAACAAAAAAAAAACAAACAAAAAGATATATATAGCAGTAATTATCTATGTACAATAGAATTTCAAATAATTTGGTGTTTTGTAATTTATTTCTTTTTGGAATATTCTAGCCTTCCTAGTGCAACTTTTTAAAAATAAAAATTAGGGGCTGGCCCGGTGGTGCACTGCTACAGTGTGCCGCTTGGGAAGCGCGGCGGCGCTCCCGCCGAGGGTTCGGATCCCACATACAGACCGGCCGCTCACTGGCTGAGCGAGGTGCGGGAGCAACACCGAGGGTTGCAATCCCGTTGCCGGTCCCGGTCCGGTACAGGCGCGACACTGAGGGTTGCGATCCGTTGCCGGTCACGAAAAAAGACAAAAAGGAAAAAAATAAAATAAAAATTAAATTATTTCTAATTAACAATATATCCACTCCCCAATAATCCTGGGTAAGAATTTAGTGTATAAAACATGTAGAAATATCAGCACAGGAGCAATGTGGAAAGAGTAAGGCAATAAGATAGGGCTGCTCCTGAAGGGCCCCAGAAGAGACCTGGCAGCCGGACAAAGACAAAGGCCAATGCAGAAGGGAGGCCAGCCCTGGGAGCCTGGGCTCCACGTAGAATGTGACACATGTAATGTGCATCGTGTGTCTCCTGGGACCATTATATATACAATTACTTGTCACAAGACAGCCCAAAGGGGCTTGCACAGCCCAGTGGGGACCCAGTGCCAGTGACTGACACACCACATCACAAAGTTACACGAGGCCACAAGGACAGAGGTTAAAGGAAATCTAATCTTATCCAGAAAAAGATTCACATGCATAAAGCATCTGCATTTTCAGAAGTAGGACCACAAGAGATCTCAGAATGATCGTGACAGTGACTTTTTGATTTGCACACTTCATACACAAAAGAGTTCAAGAAGTGACATTTTCAAGTAGTTTAATCATAATCTTTACAATACAGACTTAAAAGAACAAAATGATACTTCCCTAAATGTATTATCTACCATGTCAAACTGCACGGGGACTGCTGGCACCTGTCAGTGGCCTTGTTCCCTTCCCTTCAGACAGCACGGGACTCAGTTCTGTGCAGCAAGTGCCCAGTAACACAAAGGGCAGTGTTCGTGACCTAGTCTGCCTTATCTTTCACCACATTACCCTTTGCTTTAAATGTTACTTCTGAATATTGAGAAATACTAAGCCGAATACCCTGTGTAAGGGGTTATCATAACTTAATCAAAACCTGTAGTATTTATTCCCTGTAACTGTCTACACTGAAGCTGTGACTGTGTAATAGAGCACCTTAATGTTTTTCTCTACAGTAGCATGAAATTTTTTAAAAATTAAAATCTTACATAGAGCCTCAATACAAAATAAAATCTAAATGGCAATGGCCATTATAAATGTATGACAAGTTCTTTTATATAAAGTAAACCAATAAGAACAATTAAGCAACCTACAAAACCCAAAATTTGAAATCTAAAGCTACAGATGATAGGTACAGTCGTAATGACTACTTCAACACCCAATTTATTTCTCTTTCTTTTTGGCAGCTGGCCGGTAAGGGGATCCGAAACCTTGACCTTGCTGTTATCAACACCTATTTCTCTATTTTATCTTCATTGCATAATACTGAAAAAAAGCTTGATGCACACAAATAAGCGGTTGCAAATGATAATGGTTTTTAAACCATTTGCTTTGCAATCTCATGGAAATCCTCATTTACACAGAAACAGCATGAAGAACTGTATTCTAACACCTGTACAAAGGCAAACTATTGTGCTGGACTGCAGTGTATTAACATCTCAATCAAACCTGGCCCTTAAAATGGACTCCTTTTATTGTGTGTAATTATACCAAAATAAAGTCGACTTAAAAGTAACACCTGCCATCACTGCCTTTTTAAAAATAATAAAATGTCAAAGTATGCTTTGAAAATAAAATTCAAATCAAAAGTTAGCTGAGCACTGCCTTCTCAGAACCTCAGGGCTGCAAGGAGACCCCTGAAGACGAGGGCGGCTTTCACTGCACCCCCGGTGAATTCTAAGACTCCCCCTGAAGAAAGGGCTCCCTCCACCAGTGAGAGTGACTCTACAGCCACTGAACTGGATGACTTATGATCCACAGACTGTTTCAGTAAATCTACACAGGGCCAACGTGCAAAGATGCAGAGCCAACAGTGTCTAAAAGTCAAATGTGCTGCTTGGGGAAAGGGAACACCCAAATCACGGTGTATGCAAGTCCTACATAATAATGTGTCCAAAGTGAGGAGTCCATGTGAGAGGAGGAAGGACGTAGGCCCTTGGAGGAGTGGTCGCTTTCCCCACTACAGCTTTCCTTCCCGCCCGCAGGCTGACAGGGGCCAGCCCACGAATCCCTCCTCAGCAGAGAAAAGCAGCTCTCCCTCATCCCCGAGTCCCTCTTTAAGACAGTGATAGAACTCTGAGCTGTCCGCGGTTTTATCATCGTGTGATTTCATGTAAATATGGACCTAGAAATACTGTCTCAAGAGAAAGTTCCTCCAGAACTTCATTCAGGAGTACCAAAATTTGCACCCTGGCTTCTAAAGACTAGAGAGAAGGGACCTGCCCTTCTGCACAAAGCATGCAGGAGCAACAGCCACCACGAGAGAGTACAGTACACAGTTCTGACAGAGCACGGCCAGGGGAGGATGACTGGGCCATCACTTTGGTTTTGGACTACTGCCCAACTGGGGTTGGACGGTCAAAGCAGATGCTGATTGGTTGTCTTGGCACAGAAAAAGCCAAAGCAAGAAAGCTGCCCAATACAGTCAGTCAAGAGAATGTTCTCTCTGAAATTTTGCCTACTAGCATTTTTTACAAAATGTTTATTTATAATGCTATCTCCTATTAAACTGTTGCAGCTATAGGAAATCCTAAAGAATAATTGGATTCAAAAAGTAAGAGGTTATAAGGAAGCCCAAAACTATAATCTGGCAAAACATCTGTACAATTACAACTAATCAGACAGCACTACTGCAAATTCAAAAAAACCAATAACACACCCATATAGGTTAAATCCTGTGTTCAACTCTCCCTGATAAAAAGCAAAATCCAAAAGGCACCAGCTCAATGTACAAAAAAATTATCCAAGTGTTACAAAATTCGCTGGAGAGAAAAGGTCCGGAAGGCCTCGCGCCCTCTGGGAAGCACTGGATAAACACTGGTGGTAAGAGTTTCCACAGAGGCAAACTGGTGCCGCCCAGAGGCTGAGCCTGTGCAGCCCCTCAGGAGCTCTGGCTTGTCTCCATCACAGGTATGTGTTCCAGCCCTGAACACCTCGGGCTGGCACCCGTGAAGGGCACTGAACCACTGGACACCCCCTCGAGTGTAAACGCTCGATATTCAGGACTGAGGCAGGACAGGATGTCAAGAAGAGCAGCACCCTAATGTCTTGTTCTTGAGCTGTTCTTTTCTAAAACAAATTTCACTTTCACAGCATCTCCCTTTAGGGCATTTTCATTCATTCTAACAAAAACTGGAGCAGCTTGCTCAGTGAAGTTAGGAGCAGTGGAGTTAGCAGTGAGATGGGTGAATTAAGGAAACAAGTTAGTTATCTGCCACACTGATCCTAGTGTTAAACTCAGACCAGATGATCACTATGCCTTAAACAGCCAGGACACTCAATCAGCACTGAAGTGCTCAAAGTCAAGCCAAACAGCTTTGATGGGCTCCTAAGGAGAAGAAAACTACTGCTTCAAACACATCACAGACTTCTGTATGAGCAGAAGTTAAGAACTTACAGGAAGCTTAACTGGCACTTAGTTTGAGGAAAGGAGAGCGTCTAGCACACGAGACAGAAGGGAGGCCCGGCGGTGGTGGTGGCGCCTGCCAGCTGTGCGCTGTACTTACCCCGTTCCACTCTACGCTCATACTCACTTCCTCGCCCCCGTCAGGGCCGCTCTCGTACTTGACCACATCCACGTTGAGGCTCTCCCGGCTTCTCCGCTTCTCCAGGCTCTCAGGGTCATTGAGCACTTCAGCCACTCTCTGTTTGTGAACATTGTCAAGACCCTGTGAGCCAGGCAGGGGGAAAACGGTTCGACCCGTTAGCACTTCAGTTGTGTTAGGTATTTCTGAGATATTTAAACTTCACTAGGAAAATAGAACACCCGTTCTGAATCACTGGAGGGAGAACGTCAGAACAGTGGTTTCTCGGAGCGGGTAAGGAGGGACTGGAAGAGGCAGGAGGTACCTCCTGGAGTAAGGGTGGCAGGGTTTGGTCACACAGTGCACATGCTGCCAGACTCAGGAACACGCACTTAAGACCGGTGCACTGCATTCTAGCAAAAATTTTACCTCAAAATTTTTAAAAACTGTAAACAAACATTGAGCTCTAGTTGATGATTTGTAAACAAATATTTAGAAGGAAGAATACTGATGTCTACACATTATTTCAAATGCTTCAAAAAAAATAAAAGGATCAGGCCAGCCAGTTAGCTCAGTTGGTCAGAGCGTGGTGCTGAAAACAAGGTCCAGGGTTCAAGCCCTGTACCCGCCAGCTGCCAAAAAAATAAATAAATAAAAATAAAAGGACTGAAGGATAGACAGATGTGACAATGTATACTAGAAACTTTATAACACAGTCCAGGTGGCAGGAGTAAAATTCATTCAACTTTTCTCTATGTTTGAAAAGTTTCATAAGATGCTAGGAAAATGCCCAGGTTTTGACATTAAGTTCCCTGGGGGTTCAGCTTCCAAAATAAGAATATGATTGAAAACTCATGAATTACTTTCTTCTCAGTATAATTTTTTTTTTTCCTTTTTGTCTTTTTTCGTGACCGGCAACGGATCGCAACCCTCAGTGTCGCGCCCATACCGGACCGGGACCGGCAACGGGATCGCAACCCTTGGTGTTGCTCCCGCACCGCGCTCAGCCAGTGAGCGGCCGGTCTGTATGTGGGATCCGAACCCTCGGCGGGAGCGCTGCCGCACTCCCAAGCGGCGCACTGTAGCAGTGCGCCACCGGGCCGGCCCTCAGTATAATTTTTTTTTTTTTTAAACTAGCTGCTAATTTCCAAGAGGCATTATAAGAGCAAACTTTCACACTTCTGGACAGCAGTCGGCAGTGAGAGCGTGCACCTTACTTTTTCAATGATTATTTCACCCATATTTGAGTGAAAACATCCCAGCACTAAAATCTAACAGGGACGTTCTCCATGTGTATCTCATGCTATGCGGTGACCAAGATGCGATAGGCCGTGTGCTCTGAGTGGGCGCAGAACATGCTCGTGCAGGTACCGCACATCTTCCCTGGCTCTCCCAGTTTCCTCCTCATGAGGCACAAACCACAAAACAGACCACAGCTGCCGCGACTCCTACAGCAATGCAGCACTGTGGCGAGGGGGCCATTCTCAGTAAAGCACTAGCAATTCTTTTTTTTTTTTTTGTCCTTTTTGAGACTGGCCACACCGCGCTCAGCCAGTGAGCACTGTGAGCGCACTGGTCATCCCTATATAGGATCCGAACCCGCGGCGGGAGCGCTGCTGCGCTTGAGTGCGCCACGGGCTCGGCCTTTTTTTTTTTTTTGGGAGCAATTCCTTTCTTTAATTAGCAAGTCCTTTCTGCAACTCCAGAAGTTTCTCTTTCTATTCTTTGCTCCTTTTATAAACATGATCTGAAAAACTAAAACAGAGTCTAGATCGTCAACACCTCTCCTGTCTCAGCTCTCATACTGTAAACAAGCGCTCCTCTCGGTCTGTTTAGTGCCACGTTTTTCACATTTTTGTGCTTTTTGTTGGTGATTTTGCTGTCCAAAACAGCTCCCAAGCTCAGTGCTGAAGTGCCACCTAGTGCTCCTAAGCGCAAAGCTGTGACGGGCCTTATCGAGAACATCAGTGTGTTAGAGAAGCTCCGTGGAGGCCCAAGCTATTGTGCTGCTGGCCACAGTTCCATGTTAGTGAATCAATAACAAACACTAAATAAGATGTCTTAAAACAGAAACACACACAAAGCAAGGCTCACAGGAACCTAATTCTATATTTTCTCCTAAGGGAAATGGTTCTGTATTTGCTAATTCAGCGTTCATGCGATTTACAGAACTTAACTACCTCAAATAATGAGAACAGACTATTGTTTTGAGCACGTGAATTCAATTCCTAAGTTTAATCGGCCAAACTACTGTTTTCCACAGAAGCTGTGCCATTTTACATTCCCACCATCAGTGTATGAGGGCTCCAGATTCTCCACCTCCTCCTGCACGCCTGTTATCTTCCATTTGTTCTGTTTTTATTACAGCCATCCTAGTGGGTGGGAGGGAGGGTCTCACTAGGGTTTGATCTGCGTTCCCGACGCCTAATGACGCTGAGCATCTTTTCATGTGATTGCTGGCCAGCTGACCATCATCTTCTGAGAACTGTTTCTTCAGGTCCTTTGCGCGTTTTTTAATTGGGTTGTCTTTTTGTCTTTATACATTCTGGATACTAGACCCTAAATGATATGTGGTTTGCACATATATTCGCCCATCGTGCAGGTTGTCCTTTCACTTTCTTCATGGTGTCCCTCCCTGGACGTACCAAAGTTTTTGACTTCAGTGAATGCAACTGATCCAGTTTTTCTTTTGCTGCTCATGCTTTTGTTGTTACATTAACAGTCTTTTAAACACTATAACTTGTTTCTACTGCATATACCTCACAATAGAAAAAGCACAATGTAACTTTATTTGTACAAACTAAAATATTCAAAGTTTTCTATTTCTAAGCCAAGCCTTCAATAAAAGTCATGTAGAAGAGAACACTAAAGACAGAAGGCATCTGACTCACCTGCTTACGTGACCTCATGGCAGCTTCTTCTAATGTTTCTGCAGCCTCAAACTTGCCTTGGCGTCTGTAAAGTGCCCCAAGGTTTTTTAAAGTAGTTGTAACTGTTGGACTATAAAAGAAAGCATATGACATACAGAACTATTAAATTTAAGTTTTAGAACAACTGCTATCAACAGCATTCTGATCCTCTGACAATCTAAAGGACTGACAGACTTATGTTTGGTTATGATATACTTTAACTTTCTATGGTACTTTCTGTAACCACAGAACTCTGAAGTGTTGTCCATCTCAAGCAGCCCTGCCATGCAGTGGTGTGCTGACCCTGGGGATTCCTGTGGACAGCACCTGCGGCCCACTTGGCACTGTGCTCCATCCAGGCTGGGGCCACTCTCACAGGCCACTGGCCACTCTGTAAACAGAAACGTTTGGGCTGAATGTGTCTGGTGATCAGTATGCTTCCCCCTGGAGGCAAAGCTTAGTCTGGTCCTACAACAGTAATGAGGATAGTGTTTTTGTTTCGTTTTCAGTGCTGGCTAGTACAGGGATGGAACCCTTGACCTTGGTGTTATCAGCACCACACTCTGACAAACTGAATTAATCGGCCAGGCCCTGAGGACAGTGTTCCTAATGTTGGCTGCTCACATGTTCCTGTCCCTCCACAAGCTGAGGGGCAAGAGTGGCGCCCACCAGAATGTCAACGTCAGCAGGAGCCTTCAGAAAGGACAAATGCCTCATGTATAAAGGGAGCAGACTGGATGGTTGACAGGATGGTCGTGTTGCTGTATTCTTTGTTTGTTTTTTGGCAGCTGGCCTGTATGGGGATCCAAACCCTTGACCTTGGTGTTACAACACCATGCTCTAACGAACTTAGCTAACAGGCCAGCCCGTGTTGCCGTATTCTTGACAGAGCAGTCTTGCTAAAAGAACCAGAAACAAACCTAGATTCATTTTAGTATAGAAATGTACTTCAAGAGATTTTTTTTCTCTTACTAACGATAGGCACTTTAGGTACAGAAATAAAGACGCTCTATTCTCCAAGTCTTTGAGACAATTACACAATAGTGGGAGAAATAAAAGATAGAAATATAATATATTGGTAAATACTATGGAGAACTCAGGGGAGGGGTATTTATTCCAAACTAAGTTTCAGAGAGTTTTCCTGAAACAGATGAGTGGTAAGCCAAGTCTTATGGGAGGAGGAAAGCTGAGATAGGAAAAACACAGCAGACAAGGTGTGCCCCTCAGGCCAGGAGACACCGCTCAGTGTGTGCAGGCGATGAGCACAGAAAGCTCAGGGCTCAGGAGGTGAGGCCAGCAGAGGATGACCACAGAGGGGCTACACTCCCCTCTGCAGAGCAGAGAGGTCCTGAGGGCTGGACAGAAAAGAGGGCCGTGTGCACATCAGTCTCTGCCCGCTGCCCAGAGAAAGGCTGGACAATGGCTGGCTTTTCCAGTCTGCCGGCCTGCTTGCCATGAGTTTGCTACAATGGCCACCTTACACGATGGTTTTCCTATGCAGGTAACTCCTTTGCCTTCCCTTAGGTAGTTATTCTTGGACAAAACAATGTTAATGGACAGAACCCATTATATTACTGTGGGTTTTGCATTTGTAAATGATCTCATTTACAAAGTTAGTGGTGTTTTTAAGTTGGAATTTGGGAAATATATAGGACTATGGCCACAACACCATAAAGGAACTTTGTGCGTTTGGTCATTCACAAGCTTCCCCTTAGAACACTTTGCCTCCCCTGCTTTTTCACTTGGGGATCCAGACGTACCTATCAACTTTGCAGGCTTTGTACCAGCCACCATACTCTCCAAAAGATGTCCCATCCTTCTGCTTCCCCTAAATCATAACAAATAACGTCAAATGAATAATGATCTTGAGTGCAGTATATCCGATTTAGAAAACCTCTCAAAGGAGTATACGTCCTTACTTTGCACTCTTCTCTTTCTTCAGCATGCATCCAAATAGGTTTATTTTCGTCTAGGGAAGAAAAAAATACATACTGTAAACAAGAAGAGAGCCTGCTAAGTAGAATAGAAATTGTTAAGTTTCAGTGAGTGCAAAGTTTTTGCTTTGTTTCCTGTATGATTCTTCTTAGGTATTACTTCTTACATTTTGAACAGATTAAGTTCACAATGGAGAAAGCCTATGGAAGACAGAACTGGACACCAAGAAACAAGTAAGAGATGGCCACTGGCATCTAGTGCCAGGGATACAAGAAGCAGAATCGAATGCACTGAAACAGAGTAAGCAACTGTCCAAACCCCTGACACATGCTAAGGCCCTGTAATGGAACTCTTTAAATGCTAGATCCTCAAATAACACCTGGAAATATTTGGAATTTGAGCAAGCTGGCATTAAACAAAAGTCTAAGAAAAACTAATAAGATGTTGGCAGCAAAGTAGAAAAGATACAAATCAATATTCCTTCAAAGTCTTAACTTCTCAGAACAATAACACATACCACTCGCTGGAATTTCTAGACAACCAAAGACCCAGGCCATGGAGAAAAGAGCAATCTTAAAAATGATGTTTATGGGCCGAGCCCGTGGCGCACTCGGGAGAGTGCAGCGCTGGGAGTGCAGCAGCGCTCCCGCCGCGGGTTCGGATCATATATAGGGATGACCGGTGCGCTCACAGCACTCACTGGCTGAGCACGGCGCAGTGCGGCCGGTCTCAAAAAGGACAAAAAAAAAAAAATGATGTTTATGAAAACTGTTATAACATGAAAAGTACTAAAGCTAAAAAAGTGAAGAAAGTAAGTGGCATCCGTGGTTCCGGGTGGAGTGCAATTTCAGCTGTGTAACTCCACAGGCTCAGGAGGGAGAAAGGACACTACAAATGTCAGGCATGTATCTGGGTGATTCTCAGGTTCCTGTCTCTGCACAATTTTTTGAGACTTCCTGCCATGAGGACACATTATGGGCTCTGGAAAAAGAGACCCACACTTCAGCCCCAGTCCAACCACCTATCAGCCACCCAACCTCAGTCTGTGGTGTCCCTGCTTCTAAAACGGGTAATATTGTACCCACTTCACAGGAGTGTTGTGAAAGTTAAGTGAGATTACACATTTAAACTGCTAAGCCTAGTGACTAGTACATGGTTAAGTGCTTTATAGACATTATTACAATTATTTGTCATGTCATGAGAGATGAGTGGAACTAATTTTAAATGTTGGTTTTAAAAAAGCAAACAGTACTTAAAACTTACTAACCCCACTATTTAGGGCAGTTTTAGCTATACCTACTAAACAAATTCTATTGCTAGGATACAAGTATATTCCACAGCTAACATAGCTTGATTTCCTGCTGACAAGCCAGGCCATCAATCTCAACACATGCACTATGAGCAACAGAATGCTAATGTGATGCTGAAGGTCATGAAATGACACCACAATAGGACATATTTGCATCTTACCAAAGGAGGGAAAAATGCCTTTCTGTCTTATGTTTTAACATTTGCGTGGAGGATGAATCCAAGTATAGAAAACTATAACCCAAATAACTGGACCTCATGCTATTTTTAGCAGAAGAAAGCTAGCAAATCACAAGGAAACAAGTCTACTATAAGAGTAGAATTTTTGAAAAGAAGCACTAAGGAGATGGCCCAGAATCACTACAAAATCAGCAAAGCCTCCACAGTTATATAAGGATGGGAAAACTCTCTGCAAAATGTAAAGCTCCAAGTGAAAAAGTAGCTATTCCTACCTGCTGCACAACTGCAAACAGAACCCATTTTCAGACTAATGAATCCGAGGCACTGGTATGCATATATTTTGATCATAAAAGAGACTTATGCCCCAATCATTAAAAGAAAAAAATACATTTTTGAAAGATTTTTCAAAAGCAGTTTCTAGAAACTCTTTATAAAAGAAAATATTAATTAACCCTCTTTCCACCATCTTCACACAGGAATGTGCTGGCCGATGCTCTCAAGAGCACCAGCGATGCCAAAGAGAGGCAGACGGCCCTGCTTCATCATGGTTCCGTTTCTGACTGTGATGAGGAAGCATGGTACATCGGCGAATTTGAAATCACTGATGATCAGAGCTGGGGAAATCGTTGTGAACCTCACAGGCAGATTAAACAAGTGTGGAGTGATCAGCCCCAGGTTTGATGTGCAACTCAAAGATCTAGAAAAATGGCAGAATAATTTGCTCCCATCCTATCAGTTTGGTTTCATTGTACTGACACCCTCAGCTGGCTTTAGGAACTGTAAAGAAGCAAGATGCAAATACACAGGAGAAAGGACAAATAAGAAAAAATTAAAAAGAAAACACATAAGAGGGAAAATCCTGGAATTCTTTTTCTAGGGATATAATAAATTCACACAAATAAAATGCGTCAATGGACCAAAACATGTATATGTACATATATAAAAGTTAACCAAAACACCTCTTTCCCTCTGCATTCTAAGGTTTCCCTCACACTAGTAACAACTGTCCTCACTCTGAATGCCTTATGTAATACCTGATGGAAAAAAATAATTAACACACAAGTTTTTTTTTTTTTTTGGGTGGCTGGCTGGTAAGGAGATCCGAACCCATGACATTGGTGTTATAAGGCTGCACTTTAACCAACTGAGCTAACCAGCCAGCCCAACACACAAGTATTTTTGATTGAACAATTTATTTATTTTGGGCCGGCCCGGTGGCACACTGGATAGTGCGCCGCTTGGGAAGCGTGGCGGCGCTCCCGCCCGGGGGTTCGGATCCCACATGCGGACCGGTTCCCGCTCACTGGCTGAGCGAGGCGCGGGAGCAACGCCGAGGGTTGCGATCCCGTTGCAGGTCCCCGGTCCGGTACGGGGGCAACACTGAGGGTTGCGATCCGTTGCCGGACACGGAAAAAGACAAAAAAAGACAAAAAAAAAAAAAAAATTAATTTATTTATATATTTATTTATTTATTTTTAAGAGATGACCAGTAAGGGGATCTTAACCCTTGATTTGGTGTTATCAGCACCACACTCTCCCAAGTGAGCCATGGGCTGGCCCCTGATTAAGCAATTTAAATCCTATAAAATGTTTATTCCATTACTGTATATTAAGCACTCACATTACTTTAAGGACTATAAAAGAGACATGTCTTTAAGTCAGTCAAGCAATCCAGCAGCTTTGGGGTACAGTGGGGGATATGCGCTTCTGGAAAGGCTCCCAGGTGTGCTGAGCTGCTGGACCCTAGCCATACCTGGAGAGCCACTGGAGGATCACAGAAAGATTCTAGACAGTATGAATGGCTCCAGGAAGGTTTTCTAGAGTGAGTGGGTCTAGGTTGCACCTGAAGCACAGACTCGAAAGAGGCAGCACAGAAAGCTGTGGCCCTGAGCCCCCCACCACACGAGGCTCATCCCTCACCGAGTTATCAGTGATGCCCGGGCATGGCACACATAGGAGGCACTCGCTAACACTTACTGAGCAACAAATGAATGAGCAAGCAAGTAAGTGAATGAATACTTAGCCTGTGCCATGTGCTTTCTTCTGTTCAGAAAAATGTTTCTGGGCCGACCCAGTGGCGCACTGGATAGTGCGCCGCTTGGGAAGCGCGGCGGCGCTCCCGCCCGAGGGTTCGGATCCCACATACGGACTGGTTCCCACTCACTGGTTGAGCGAGGCACGGGAGCAACGCCGAGGGTTGCGATCCCGTTGCCGGTCCCCGGTCCGGTACGGGGGCAACACTGAGGGTTGCGATCCGTTGCCGGACACGGAAAAAGACAAAAGACAAAAAAAAAAAAAAAGAAAAGAAAAATGTTTCTAAAATTCAAGTTAAATTCTATCTTGAAAATACTGTGATGACTTGGATATTACCCAGTTCAAGCTGGAAATCACTATTTTTAATGCATTATACAATTATGTCTGCTTAGAAACAGGAGTATATTTCTTACCATCTACAGAACCAAACTCCCTTTCATGTGCACGAGTGAGAATCTCTTTGTACAGAGTCTCTGCTTGCTTGAACTTTCCTTGTTTCAGATAGCAGGATGCCTATAAAATAAAGTATTTAGTGTCCTTCACGTTCAAATAAAGCATACATTTTAACTATGGTTAAAATATGAAACATTTGGATTTGGGAACGAGAGCAATCCTAGCCACACCCGTTGAGCTGCACCTCTCTCAACATACCAGGTTATTTTTCGTCTTGGCCACATTGGGGTCATCAGGTCCCAGTTTTGTCTGGTAGATCTCGAGAGCTCTTTGATAATAATATTCTACTTCTTCATACTTGCCCTGGTTCTGGCACAGTAAAGCCAAGTTATTTAACTGCTTGGCAACATCAGGGTGATCCTTTCCCAAAACCTGGGAACAAAAAAGTTATCAGAAACACATACACAAGGTCAAGGGATCAGATCCTCTTACGAGCCAGCCACCAAAAAAAGGGAAATGCTTGTTTCCCTACCATCCGATCCATTCTCTACCCACTGTCAGAAGGATCTTTCGAAAACATAAATATGACTGTGCTATACACCCAGGCTTAAAACTCTTAAATGGCGCGCTATGCGTTGCAATAATAAAAATAACCAAATTTGTTGAATTCTCACTTTTTTTTTTTTCCCCCTTTTTGTCTTATTTTTGTGACCGGTAACGGGATCGCAACCCTCGATGTCGTGCCCGCACCACGCTCAACCAGTGAGCGGACCGGTCTCTATATGGGATCCGAACCCTCGGCGGGAGCGCCGCCGCGCTCCTAAGCGCCGCACTCTACCGAGTGCGCCACCGGGGGCCGGCCCTGAATTCTCACTCTTAAGGGGAGGAACTGTTCTAATTTCCTTTAGCCGCTTTAAGTTATTAATTCTTTTCCTCTTTTTTGCGGCTGGCCAGTACAGGAATCTGAACCATTGATCTTGGTGTTATAACATCATACTCTAATCAACTGAGCTAATCAGTCAGCCCCAAGTTGTTAAATTCTTAGAATAATCCTTCATTTCAGGTATGTACCACTATGATGCACATTTTGGAGAAGAGGAAGCTGGGTTTTATACAGACTGTGTTGGTTTGACTGCTGATTTCTGAAAGAGCCCAAACCCTCTGTCCCAGCTGCTCAGGACACACTCCTCCTCCCTGTCACTACTTATCCTCCAGGGCTCGCTTCATTCCTCCCGGGGGGGGGCTTCCCTATCTCCAAGTTACGGCAGCCCTTGCCCTACCCCCACCCAATTAACTCAACAAGCCTATCAACTGGTTGTTCTTTCTTTCTTTGCACATATCACTACCTAGGAACAATCTAGTTTATCCTTTACTGCCTGACTCCCACCCATTACAATGTAAGCCCCAAGAGCGCAAATTCCTTGTCTCTCTACTTCACCATCGTCATCTCAGCATCTAGAAAGGTGTCTGGCATATAGAAGGATGAATGGACACTAGCCTCCTCTCTTGGTACCATAAACAAGTGATTTGCTCTCTCAGCTTTGCAGTCACCAGGGAGGCATGCATCCATCCCGGTCTGCATTCCCTACCTCTGTGTGCCTGGGAAACATTTAACTCAGTTATTCAAGATACAATTCAGGGCCGGCCTGTGCGCACTGGAGAGTGCGCCGCTTGGGAGCGCGGCGGCGCTCCCGCCGAGGGTTCGGATCCCATGTGGAGACCGGTTCCCGCTCACTGGCTGAGCACAGTGTGGGCACGACACCAAGGGTTGCGATCCCGTTGCCGGTCCCCGATGCGGGCGCAACACCGAGGGTTGCGATCCCGTTACCGGTCAGTAAAAAAGACAAAAAGGAAAAAAAAAAAAAAAGATACAATTCAAACATGACCTGCTCTGGGAAGCCATCCTAATGCCCCCCAAGCCCTGGACCTGAATGAGCCCCCACTCCATACTCTCCTAGAGCTCCATCATAGAGGAAATGTACCCTGTGGTCCAAAGGCCTGTGCTCCCTGGGGAGGGCCTGCCACCTCCAAGCAGGGTCTCCAGATGAATGAAAGAGCAAATATATGAATGAATTTGGAAGATCATCATATACAGTTCATAATCCTTAATATGATACTTTTGTGTTTTCCCTGATTTTAACCCCAGCCCACTCAAAAGATGACCAATTTATTTCATAAATATCACGCAGATGACAGCACGATAAAGTATTACCTGTATAATTTGGTAATAAGCCCCTTTTCATTTTCTCTCCCCAATTCCTTGCAATATGGCTCAAAATTAAGTGATCAATCTTTTGTGATAAATAATCCAAAAATTACCAAGTTGAAACATTACCCTGGTCATTCATGGGAGGGACCTAATACCTGAATCTCCATAACAACTGAACAGTCATAGGGAGTACTGCTGAAATGAACAAGTAACATTTTTTTCCAATACTTAATTACCATAAACTACAGCAGCTGGCATTAAATATCCATGACATTGACTTCGTCTATAGCTCTGAGTTAATCTTCAGTTCTAAAAATATTTCATCTTTTACATTTCATAAAGCATATTTGGTGAATCTATTTTTAAACTATAACGTAACATAATGTTTTCCCTGCAGACAAGGACATGCCCCACTTTCCAATGCAATGCCCCATGCTTTCACTCCCGTCCTCAGAAATCCCTTCTTCAGCCAGAGGCCTTGTCTGGTCACAGCAGGCTCCAAAGGACACGCACGCTCAGGGCCACACCTTTCTGAACGTACATCCCTCTTAACAGGTCTCAAGTGTTGATTTGTCTGAGACAACCTGACTTTGTTCTGTGGGCAGTCCACCTTATTAAATAAGTTATTTTCAGTAATGACATATCACAGTGGTCATTTCCCAAAACTTACAACTGAAATACTTTTTAAGAAACAAAAAAATTAAATCTCAGAGAACAAGAACCCCTTATCTTTTGCACCTTTTCTCTGATCTCCAGAGCTCTCTTACACAACGGCTCGGCTTCTTTGTACTTCCCTCTTTTACCATAAAGGACTGCAAGGTTATTCAAAGTTGCTGCCACCTACCAACACAGAGAGAACCACTAAGAATAGTAAAAGATAACAAAATAGAGTACCTTTATAAATCACGTATTCGTTTATATTCAACATGTACCATAAAGCACTCTTAATTGGATAAAAGAATATGACTTCAGTTTAAAAAAGCAGTTCATTATAATATACATTATACGAAGTAACTCTGCAGAATATTAAAAGTGAATAAATCAATATGAACAAGATGATCTTGATTTTTTTTTTTTTTTAATTTCCCTGGAAGCCATAAAGCCAACCAAAATAGACCTGTGTGCAAATCTCACCAGATTTTAAGAAAAAGACAATATAAATTCTTGAGAAAAAAATTTATAGAAGTACATGCAATTTGATTTAGGATCAAAAAATACACTGGGTGATCCATTTGAGGTGATGGTTTTAAACAAACTCAGTGTGCACTGGCAGATGCTAAATATCAGCGCCACTGACACTGAAGCTTGTCAATGGCACTGAGGAAGTGAAGACTTACCTGTATCATCCAGGGAAAAGGCAGCTCTTAAATCTTCCCTGTTGAGTTTAATATTAAAATGAGATGAACAAAAAAACATACTGGGCAAAACAAAACATAAAAAGAATGGAAGAACCAGATATACAAACCGCGGGATGGTCTTTGCCCAAAGTTTTTTCACGGATAGCCAAGGCATCATTCAGTAGATTAGCTGCGTCTTTGTATTTATTCTGATCTCTAAATTGAAAAACACATAGTAAGTGTTTTAGACATAGATTACTACATCTTTCTCAAATGCAATTTTGGAACTACAGAAATAAAAGTCAAGCTTCAACTATTTAAAAATAAAACAACCCTATGTGGGAGAAAAAGACTGGAAGGAAATCCATCAATAAATGTGCTGTAAGGTGAGTTCTGGAATCAGACCTGATTAGCTTCTGAACATGGCCCTCCCATCTACACCACTGGGACAATACTGTTCCCACACTGCAGTGCTGTCCTGCACAGAATAAGTGAGGCAGTCTAGAACAACGAATGGAGCTTGCATTTGGTATCAGATGGAACAGATTCCAGTGTCTGAGCTTGGGCTCTGCCAGTCAATGGCTGCATGGTGTTGAGTATGTTCAGCAACCTCCCGTAGTCCCTGCCCTCCCATCTTCACATTAAGTACATTACCTAACGCACAGTGTTGCTGTAAGAATTAAATAAGGCAATGATATGCTACCTGTATACTAAAAAAGCCTTTTTACAAAACATAGAGAACAAAAGTAAACATGCTGTAGTGTCTTAATTTGGTACACAAGTTGCCACCATTTTCTTGGATAAGGAGGAATGAAGGATCTTTTTTGATTGTGGTAAAACAGAAACACCAACAGACCCAGACACTCTTGGTTTAAGTGTGCTATTCACTATAGATGTGACTGCAAACAAGTTACTTGCTTTTGAAACTCAGTATACCTATTTCTCAATTGAGCAGTAATAGCTGCCCAGCAAGACTCTGCCCTGCAGAACATGAGAAGGGATAATAAGGCTTCCAGGACTGGCCAGTTAGCTCAGTTGGTTAAAGCACAGTGTTGATAACACCAAGGTGAAGGGTTCTGATCCCTGTACTGGCCAGCCACCCAAAAAAGAAAAAAAAGGTTTCCAGAACCTTGAAGCACACTCAATTCTGGCCAAGTACATTCTTGGTTTTGTTTTTTTTTAATTGAGTCACCCTATTACACATTATAAGCGGCCTCAAAATTTTTGTGAAAGTCCTCAAGTACAAATAGAGTTTCAAAAACTAGTAAACACATACACAACCAATTTATTTAAGTGTTGTGAGAACTACACAAGATGAGGTATACTAAGCATTTTAGTAAATTATGACATGTCATGTCACAAAATGCCAACAGTGAGGTCATGTCAAGCTGTAGAGCAGTGGTTCTCAGGTGTGGCCCCGAAACAACAGCCATTAACCTCACCTGGAACTTGTTAGAAACCAGACCTTCCCCAGACCTGCTGAGGCAGAAACTCTGGGAGAGGGGTCGAGCACACTGTGATTTAACAAGCCTATCAGGAAATTCAAATTCATAACGAAAACAAAAGTATAACATTATAACCATAAAAAACCTAATAGAAAAATGGGCAAGGTAAGAAAGATATAAATGACTAAAAATATATAATCAAAGAAATACAAGTTGAAACATAGTGCTCCACTTATCCACTGATAAAGAATAAGAGATTACTAATGCTGCCAAGGCTGGTAGCAGTGCAGCAGAGTGTAAACTTTCTTTCTGAAAAACAGCTCCACAATATGTAACAAGAACTGTGAAATGTTTATACTCTACCCTATTAAAACTGATCCTAAAAAAATCCAAAATCTTGGACAAAACTTAGAAATGTTCATCAGTATAATATTAACGGGCAAGAAAAGCTTAAAATTACATGTGCCTTAATACAAGAATGATGAAATGATGAGTTATGATCCAGATAGAGGATAAATTTTATTAAATAATTTTTAAATATTTATTTTTAAATATTTATTTTAAATATCCTCGGGCCAACCCTGTGGCGCACTCGGGAGAGTGCGGCGCTCCCGCCGCAGGTTCGGATCCTATATAGGGATGGCCGGTGCGCTCACTAGCTGAGTGCGGTGTGGGCGACACCACACCAAGGGTTGCGATCCCCTTACCGGTCACAAAAAAGAGACCCCCCAAAAAAAAAAGAAAAAAAAAAATCCTCTAATTTTTTTTCAGACTTTTTACTGGCATAGGTAAACTCTCATGATGACCTTAAGGAAAAAAACAGGATTAAAGACAGGCCAACAAATCCCCAGCACCAAGCACAATGACATGTGTGTGACCATGCATGCTTATGTACTCAACGATAAAAAAACTCAGTTATGTTTATTTAACTCACTTATATAAATAATATCTATTATTGTCCATAAACTTTCACATGTTGGTATTGGACATATAAATTTTTTAAAAAATCTTTTTGGAGTGAAATTTAGCATAATCTATCAAGATGTTAAATGCAAAACCTGTGGCGAAGGAATTCCTACAGTAAAAGTTTGCAAACAATCTGAATATCCATCAACAAGAAAATGGTCAAAAAAATCTCCAGAGTATCCACAAAACAAAGTACAATGCAGTCAGGGAAAAGACTGCTATGGGCCGGAGGTTAGCTCAGTTGGGTAGAGTGTGATGCTGATAAAACCAAGATCTGGTTTCAATCCCTGTATCAGCCAGCCATCAAAAAAAAAAAAGACTGCTGTGAACAAACTATAGAGTTGCAGAGCATGATCTGATCTTGCTCTAAGAAGTGTTGAGGGTGTTTACTTTTTTTATGTGTTTTTACTTTACCAACTTTCAAAAACTCTTTTTAAAGAAACCACTTATGCACATGGACAGCTATATTATTTCATTTCTCTTCAAGTGTCACCAGGCCCCAACCTCTCCTCTCTCTCCACAACTGTCACCCCACGACCTCACACAAGCCCCTGACAGTCATCCTGCCTCCTGCCTCCAGCTCCAGCCCCTTTTCTGTCCCAGGCGCCACGTCAAAGCAACTCTTCTATAACACAACTTGGTGCCCAGTGTTCCCCACAGGTGCCCTTTAGCAGAGATGAGTGTCAGGGGAGCACAAAAGGGACAAAAGGCAGGTGGAATCCTGGATCCCAAAAGGAGACAGAGTTAACCAGGTCTTGGAAGGTGGGAAGGGAACTGACAGGCAAAGTGCCAAGGCTCTACTAGACAAAAGAAACCTAGTACACAGTCTTCTGGGAGAGAGTCCAATAGCTTAGGTGGCCCAAGTGAAGTGTGTGTGGGCTAATCTAGAAAGGCTGAACTGGGGTCACAGGCAGCATCTGTTCCAACTGAGTGACACCCATGCCACAGAGCTTGCTCAATACTTTGAATTTAATCCTAGCAGTTAAGAAGAGAAGTGGATGACAAAGTTGGAAAGTAGTTCATGCAGATTTTTAAAAATGTATTTTAAGGGGCAAGTCGGTTAAAAGTACTGTCTCTGCATAAAATTCAGTGGATAAATGAAAGCAACTAGCCTGTACACCAAGGCCAGGATGTTGAGCATGGTGGCCACATCCGGGTGGTCGTGTCCCGAGGTCTTCTCCAGGTCCTCCAGGGCCTGCTTGCAGAGGGGCACAGCCACCTCGTAGCGCCCCTGCGAGGCGTACTGGATCACCAGGTTGTGGAGCGTGCGTAGGCGTGCGGGGATCTCGTAGCCACCCTGCTGGGCAGCCGCGGCCGCGCTGCTGTGCTGCTGCTGGACTGCACAAAGAAAGCTCCACGTCAGAGGGGTTTTTACAGAAAATTACCCAGATGAGTCAGCTAGTCTAAAATTTTCCTCACTAGCTTTGGTTCAAGTTAGTCCTTGGCCCCTATGCTATTTAAATCTTGTCTTACTACCGCCTGGGCAGGCTGGTCAGGGATGGCGCACGTCCACTGACAAGGCCACCGTGAAGCTAACAGAAACAAGTTACTCTGACCTCTCTCTCTGTAAAAATCTACAGACCCCACTGAGCTATGCACGAATGCCCTTATCTCCTAGGGTATGGCCTAACATGTTATTACATCCCAACAAACAGCAGCTATTTTAAATTCTCTTAGAAATGAAAGGCAGCCTGCTCTGCTCATGCTTCCGAGGCAGGCTACATGCACTCAGGCTCCCACTGATTGCCACAACCCAATCCCCAGAGGGAAGGCCCCTCCAACTGTGCACGGTGACATCCCCACAGCCCTCGTCACTTACTGCCATGGCCTGGGTCGTCTTCATCGTTGGGGAACAGGTCATCTAGAGGCTCTTTGGTAGAATCAGTGTCTTTGTCCTCCTACAAAACAGACCCAGAAAGACCCTCATCTTACAGGTACTATACAGCCTGTCCTGAAGACCTTTAATATAAAACTCATTTTAACTAAAAATCTTAGAAAAGATAATGAGTTTTTTTAAATCAAATGTAGATCATCCATAATTTGGCCTGTCTATCAGTTTAATAAAGAGTAATAAAAAGCTTGCTAGACTAAAACTCAAAATACTTAAGTAAAGACCCCAGGGTTTAACAAAATAGACCATGACTGCATTTCTTTACCTTAGAATCTTCACCTGTATCTGAGGAAGTTCAAGTATAGCAGGTGTAGTGGATTGAATTATGTTCCCCCAAAACTCACTAGAGCTTGAATTGTGTCCCCCAAGTTCTATGTATTAGAAACAGCCTTCACTGTAACTATTAAGAGGGTGGGAAATCCTATTATGGTAACTGAAAGGTGCAGCCTTAAAGAGGTGATTGGATGGTAGGACTGTGCAGTAGTGAATGGATTAAAAATGGTGGTCAGAGGCGTGGTTCTGAGGGCTTTAAAAGGAGAGTCTGTCTCTCTCTCTACTCTCTCTGCTTCCACTATCCTGCAATGTGAGACCCCTGAGTCATTGCTGCCAGCAGCAAATGGACTTTGGACTTCCCAGCCTCAAAAACTGTAAGCAGTAAATTTCATTTTTCTTTATAAATCGCCCAGTTCCGTGTATTCTGTTATAAGCAACACAAACAGACTAATACAACAGGGAAACCCTTACTTAAAATAAATGGAGGGACTGGTCACACATTCGCCACCAACAGGCTCCACTGCAGGAGCCCTGAGAGCACTCTGAAACCTCCCAACTTTAAAAGTCTGTGACTTGTGCCTCCTCCCTGATCACTGATTAGTGCAAGGGATAAAAACAGTGACTATACAATCGAGAAAACAGGTAAGAAGTTAGCATCATCATGGGGCAAAGGAACACTGTTTAGTTCCCAAAGGGACAATCTGATAAATACACATCATTTTTATAATAATCCTGTCTGGGATGCATTATCCAAACTCAGGAATTATCTATAAAGTAACTGGCCTGTATTCTTCAAAAATACCAATGTCATGAAAGACAAAGAAAGTCTGATTCTATGAAACTAGCTTTCCCCTCCTCAATGTTCCCAGTGCTACAGGGAAGTCACTGGCTGGCATCAGCATCTCCAAGTACTCTTCTTCCCACAGCAGTCAATAGCTTTTAAATGCCTTCTAAATCAAAACATTAGCTGCCCCCTGGCCTAGAGGAGACATGAGGGAAAAATGCAGTAAGCCTATTAAAACTGAGTTGTGTTCCCTCAAAATTCCTACGTTGAAGCCCTTACTCTCAATGTGATTGTGCTTGGAGATGAAACCTTTGGGAGGTGATTAGGGTTAGACGGGGTTGCAAGTATGGGGCCCTCCTGATGGGATTAGTGCTCTTATAGTAAGAGACACCAGAGAGCTTTCTCCCTCTTTGTCCCTACCATGTGAGGACACAGCAAGCAGGTGGCCATCTACAAGTCAGGAAGAGAGGCCTCACCAAAACTAAACTCTGTTGGTGCCCTGACCTCAGATTTCCAGCCTCCAGAACTGTGAGAAAATAAATGCTATTTAAGTCATCCAGTCTGTAGTATTTTCTTATGGCAGCCCAAGCAGGCAAAGACAGAGGTAAGTGTAGGCTGCTGGTGCTATGCACAAGACTGTTGCAGTAGTCTTAGAATGGAGGTTTGTACACAACTGTGGAACTCACTGGTATATTGATTAGGTACATAAATATGCCTGGCACCATGTAGGCATTAAAAAATGTAGCTCTAAACATAACATGGAATCCTGGATTGGGTTGTGGAACAGATAAGGGACACTAGTGACAGGACTGGTGACATGCAATAAAGTCTGTGGTTTAGTAAAAGTAATGTAGCAATGTTAATTTCCTAGTTTTGACAAATGTTCTATGGTTATGTAAGATGTTAATACAAAAAAAATGGGTAAAAGGCATATGGGAATTCACTATCTTTTCAACTCTTCTGTCAACTGGAAATTATTCCAAAATAAAAAAGTTTTCTTAAAAGTTAACTGAGGGCCAGCCCGTGGCTCACTTGAGAGTGTGTGGTGCTGACAACACCAAGACCACAGGTTCAGATCCTATCTAGGGATGGCTGGTTTGCTCACTGGGGAGAGTGTGGTGCTGACAACACCAAGTCAAGAATTAAGGTCCCCTTACTGGTCATTTTTTTTTAAAAAAAAAGGTTAACTGAATCTGAAATAAATGATGGATGAAAATAACTGACACTAGGATGAACATCCATAGAGAGCCAATAGAAGAATATAAAAAAACCAAGATCCTCAGGGAATGCTAACATTCCAGAAACAGAAAGATAAGTTGGCAAGGGAGGCCAAGAAGGAAGAACAAGGGAGGCGGCAGGAGAACCAGGTGGTGTCTTGAGGGGCATGGGAAGGGAGGGTTTCAAAGAGAAAGGCCTGATCAAGAACACATGTGGCCTGGCCAGTTAGCTCAGTTGGTTAGAGCACGGTGTTGTAACACCAAGGTCCAGGGTTCAGATCCCCACACTGGCCAGCTGCCAATAAAAAACCAGCCCCTTGCACTGCAGAGCATAGAGGTAGGACTGCAGATGGCTTGCAGACTCCGCAGCTGACAGGTGAGGAAGCCAGACTGCTGAGAGGCAGGGAAGCTCAGGAGCTCCCAAGCTGGGCAGACCTTGTCCAAGGTAATACTGCAACTCTGCATTGTGCCTTATATTTAAAAAGCATTTTTAGGGCCGGCCCAGTGGCGCACTGTTACAGTGCGCCGCTTGGGAGCGCGGTGGCACTCCCGCCGAGGGTTCAGATCCCACATACAGACCGGTTCCCGCTCACTGGCTGAGCGAGGTGCAGGCGCAACACCGAGGGTTGCGATCCCGTTGCCGGTCCCGGTCCGGTACGGGCGCAACACTGAGGGTTGCGATCCGTTGCCGGACACACACACAAAAAAAAGCATTTTAAAATTTTCTGACCATGTTCTAAAAAACACACATGAAAAGAATACATCAAAGAGAACTTCTATGACTTGCCCAGGGATGCCATTTCCAGACCCACAAGCCTCGGTCCTGCTGAATGCAGTCACTAGAGGGGAGCTCCACTGTGATACCCTACTGACTACAGCCTGGTAAACCTCAGTACCACATTCACTGCAGAGCCACTCACAGATGGGGAAATGTCATCATCGTATTTTTTTAGCTGATTCATGAATTCGAGATGCTTCTTCTCTTCTTCCAGTTGAGCCACAGACTGCTCACTCTTCTGTAACTTCTGCTGTGTGTTGGCCAGTTCATCCCGCAGCCACTGATTCTCCTGGCACAGACGACGAACCTGTGCACGCAATTTCTGTTTCTCTGACTCAACGGCATTCAGGTGATTTGACAAAGCCATCATAACCTGAATAGACAAAAACATCGACAGCTCTGCAGTGTACTGTGCAACAAGAGTCCCTCTCATCTACACAAGTGCTTGTGGCTGTAGCTCCAGCTTACACTCAAGATCCTTTCTTCATAGTACATGTAAGTACAATCTGCCATTTATTTATCTTTTCACCCTTCAGCCATAGACTACATAAGGGGGGTATAATAAAGAATGTCACATGCTCAGAACACCTACAAAAAATATACCTATTTTTTCTATTTGACAGCGTCACAAATGAATTAGCAATGAACACACAGCTAGTCTCCTGACGAAGCTGCATTATTTTACTTTCTACCCAACCTAATTTTTCATAGACCCTCCTCCACGTGCGAGAAACAAAGTGCAGGTCAGTGAGGGGCTATTGGTGAGTTGGGGAGGGGTGGGCATACAAGTCTTCCTTGATGTTCCAAGGTAGGGGAAGAAGTCTTTGTAGCTACCACCAAGAGTCAGAATGCACTGGTGCAGTCGTAGCTCCTGTTTACATTACTAAATCAGCGGCTGCTCCAGGGCTCCACCTGTGGAGCGCTCATCAGTTTCTGGGACAGACCTGCCTGAGGCTACAAGTAAGTTCCGAGGAGCATAAAAGCAGAAAGAGTAGGGAGCTGCCTGGCTTCCAGCTGCTCTCTTTTTAGATCACATACCTGCCCTTCCCTCTCACAACCTAGTCATCATGTTATTACCATCCTGAGTCTAAAACCTGAAACTCCAGAAGGTGGCGCTTTTCCTTCCTTCTTTTTTTAAACCTATTATCTGCGGGACTAAAAAAGCAAGTTCAAATTCATATTACCTTTCAACAAGAGAACTGGAGAAATAACAGGTTCATAATATCCAAATAAAGTTAAAGTTCTACAATTAGAGTCTGTAACAGGTTTAGGATGAGAACTCTAAAATTAGGGTATGGACAGTCAATTCCTTTATGAAAGCAGAAGCTGGTGACCCAGGAGCCCCTCTTCTGCTTCATTCATTCACTACACTAGAAGACAGCTAAGAAAGAAAGCAGCCAATTTTTAGTGTATTTAATTTTACCTAAGCTATACTGGTAGAGCCAGAAGTTATCAGGGGAGTAAAAAAAAACTAGATGTTTCCAGTTCTTTCATCTCCACATCTAGCATGATAGAAAAAAAGATTTAGTCAAATACATAAAGCAGTCTGATCTCAGGGTACTACAGAGACTATCGGCTGCTGGCCAGTATCCATCCTTCCCTTCCTCCTTAGGCTTAAGAACCATGAACTGTAAGTGGGCAGGACAACCTCCCCAGCCTAGCTCATACCTAGCTGTGGCCACAGGACAAAGTTCTGACCAACGAAGTGCGTGCAGTGTAGGGCACTACTTCAAGGAAGCAGCCTTTAACGGGATAAGGCACACCCTTTCTGTCCCTTCCTGTCCCATCCTGTCCCTTCTCCCGTGCTAGAACAGGATCATGGTACTGCAGCTGGAACTCCCTCTTAATCCCCAAGACAGGCCGCCAGGGTGCAACACAGCGGACGGCACAGACCTGAGCATCTGTGAGGACCTTACAACTACACATCCATCCAGGACAGCGCACCTCAGTTTCACACACATCTATGTTGTTTTTGTTTTTTGATACAGGCAGTCAAATCAAATCCTAAATGATACAAAGGGGTACCTCTATTTTGACTCTACTTTTTGAAGTTCAGATATGCGCAAATCAGTAGTCATTTATATAACATACACGAGCCACATATAAGTGGAACTGTGTTATTCTGTAAGCATCTTCCCTACACTTTAGTTAAAGGACATATTTCAAACGCAGTCTCCATTTTTCCAGCCACCGAGTTCATGTTCACGTCTGAGTCACTCACTCGTACCTGTGCCTCACTCAGGCCCAGCTCCAGCATCTCCAGTGACTTCCGGATCATGTTTGATTTCTCCTCCACCAGGTTACTTTCGTCATCTTTCTTCAAACACTTCAGCGTCTCCAGCAAACTCTGTAAAATGGAATTGTGCTCATTCTTCAGAGCTTCCAGCCCCTGAATTACTTGCTTTGTCTTAGAGATAATTTCATCCTGCGTAAGCTTCTCCAACTTGTCTTCCTTTATATACACCATTGTGGTCATGTTGTCATACATTCTAGAAAGGAAAAAAAAAAATTAGACATCTCGGTACCCATTTCATTTCTGTTACATCTTTAACAAACTAAACATTTGTGAAAACGTTTAAACTGGCATTTTATGGGTAAATAATAAATATGTGTATTTGTAATTTATAATCTTGAAGTACAATATCTGTACCGTTTCTGTTTTTTCTTTGTAGATCCACTTAATTACTTTTCTGGTTTATGTCTGAATTCTTTTTTATAGATAAAATGACAGCAATTGAAATTAATGCCAAAGATTAAAAGCAGCAAAACATCCAAATGGCATTTCCAAAACACACAGCCTCAGTGAACAAAACTTTCTCTCAATGTCTGCAAGCTCTTTCTCTCTTAATGAAATGTCTAGAGGACAGTAAATTCTTGGTAATATATTCAACCAGTCAAGCGTTGAGAAGTGGTAACACAGTTTGGAAGAAGAAAGAAAAACCAGGGCCGGCCAGTGGCTCACTCAGGAGAGTGCGGTGCTGATAACACCAAGGCCCCGGTTTCAGATCCCATATAGGGATGGCTGGTTAGCTCACTGGCTGAGCGTGGTGCTGACAACACCAACTCAAGGGTTAAGATCCCCTTACAGGTCATCTTCAAAAATAAAAAAAATAAAAAACCCAGCAAAAGAACATGGAACAGTAAGAGCAGCAGAAGAAGGGCCAGAGTTAGAAGACACAGGGCAAGACTGACAGGAGCAGGATGGTCAATGTGGCAGACTTAACGAGGACGCTGAGGAGCACCAACGGGCTGGGCCAGCCCAAAGGCCACCAAGATGAAATAATACGTCATCTGGGACTGGCTCTGAAACACCACAATAAGAAAGAAAAAGTGGAAGGGAAAGGGACATATAAAACAGTATCAGCAAAATGTTGCTAACTGATGACACTAAGCAACAGTTCCTTGTATTACCCTCTCCAGTTCTGTGTATGTCTTAAAATCCCATAATTACATTCAAAAAACAAAAAAGTCATGAACGATGATCACTAAAAAGTCTTTTGAGTAGAGTGACAGGGATGGAGGTCAGATTATATGTCCAAGTTATTTCCTTCGTAGCACTTGCCACTATCTGAAATCTTATGTGTTTTCATGAATTGCCCTTTATCCCCTTGAATATAAGCTCTATAAAAAAAGGTAGGGACTTTATCTTGTACAACAGTGAATCCACAGTACTTAGGACACTCCTAGCCCTCACAGACATCTGGTGAATGTACAGATTGACAGATGCTAGACAAAGGGAAGAAGGCCAAAAGCAGTGGATTACAGAGTACACTGTCCAGGACTTGGGAAAGTATGAATATTTGATAACATGTTAGTCTTTGTATCACTGACTTCACACTAGAAAAATGATTTTTTGCACAAATATGAAGGCTGAATTCTTTTTGAAATTAAGAAGTTATCTGTAGAACTATTCAGAAACCCACCTCCGTAACACTAACAGAGCCCAGAGAACAACAAAAGAATGAAGGCAGTTCCTCTACCTGACAGTACGTCATTTAATATTATATTTATTATGTGGTTGTTTAGCATAAGGTTCTCCAACTCCACTGTAGCAATATGTGCTGTGTGCCAGGTTGGGAACACACTCCTGCTCCATGAGAACAGTGACCTCATCCATACTGCTCAGCAATGAACTCCCAGCCTGGCACACAGCATGCATTCACTAAATGACTGAATGAAAAATTTTAGGACCAGCTTTCAATAAACAGGATCAAACTGCACTAGATCAAAGTACTGATCTGAATATCTCTGAGCTCCTATGAGTAAAGGGGAGGGTTTCCAGAAATGGTGTCCCCAGAGAAGGAGGAAAATAAAAATTAAGGCCTCCCTCTCCACCGCTGGCAACGAAGTATTCATGTATTACTTCTAAATGTATTCTGTTATCTTTCCCAAACTAGACTACTCAATCATTGATGCCAGGCCCTGTGATACACAAATTGATAAGGGCCTCACTTTTGGGGGCATGCAGGCTAGCAGAAGACAAGCTACACAAGCAGGGGCACCAGGAGCTGAAGGCCCTGCGGCAACGACTACACAATGGCTGAACGGTGGTTGCACGGTGGCAGCACAGTGAGGATAAGGGACAGCAGTCAATCCCACTAGACATTGGGCAGCCCTGCAGAAGAAATGACTCCTAAGGCGAGCTGGTCTCATCCAACAGCATGTCTCAAGGCGAGTGCTGAAGGCACTGCCAGCTGAGGGAGCAAGGGGCAAGGCAGAGGTGTGACAGCGCCCACTGCTGGTGAGCCACAAAGCGAGAGGAGCAGAGGCAGGCGCGAGCACAGGCCACTTGCCCTGCGGCCGGCGGCTTAGTCTGCATTCTGAAGGCGACAGCCCGGGGGTTAAAGAGTTGCAGGCTGGGGCAGTGGTCAGGAAGGGAAAAAGGGCACCAGGTGACAATGCCGTAGGAAGAATCTACCAAAGATACATTCATTCCCTCCTCAAAAAACCTAGTCAGCAACTTCTTAGTCTTTTCCAACAATATAAAACCTCAGGGGAAGCAATGGAGAGTGTCTAGACCTAATAAAAAATGATAGCAACTTCATTAATCGAACTACCTATGAAAAATAAAAGCTCCTGGGTGTGTTTGGGCAATGAGTTATATTCACACAAGATTAAATCCTGTCCAATTATAAAGATGCTCCACAGATTATAATAGTGGCTGAAAGGAAGGGGAAAGCAAGGCAGTTCTGTGTGTCTAAAAAAGAAAAAAGAAAGGGACAAGGCTTAAATAGGAGAAGGAAAACCGTAAAAGGTAGGACTTGTGTACAGAAGAAAAAAAGAGAGAAAAACTTAATTATTTAATCACTAATTGAATAGATGCCTGAATTTAAAAGTATGAATAAGTAAATACATTTAAAGAAATCTGATTTTAGGGCCGAGCCCGTGGCGCACTCGGGAGAGTGCGGCGCTGGGAGCGCAGCAGCTTACCGCCGCAGGTTTGGATTCTATATAGGGATGGCCGGGGCACTCACTGGCTGAGCGCGGTGCGGCCGGTCTCAAAAAGGACAAAAAAAAAAAAAAAAAGAAATCTGACTTTAACTCCTTAAGGCATATATAACAAACCGGGTGACAGCCCCTTACCAGCTCAGACACTCCTGTAAAGGCTGTAACAAACAGATAAGAATTACGAAAACAAGCACTCTCTAGATATGGGGGGAAAGAAAAAAAAAAGAGCCTCTTAAGAGGCAGTTTTCTTTTCTTTCTATTTATTTTTTTTTCCTTACCCCTAAAAGAATTAATTAATGAGCATTCAAACGCTCTGGGAGGGTGTGAAGCTCTCCTGAGAAGTGAGATGGTGGGCACTGAGGAGGGTGTGGGCTGTGACTCCAGACACAGCAGGCACAGAGATGGCTCTGCCAGTCCCCATGGCTGTGGCTCCAGGCAGGTGCCTAAGCCTCCACGGGTCTTGCGGGGCTGTTAGGAGCATGGTGTCAAGACTACGTGAGGCACTAACCACAGTAGCTGACAGATGCAGGGAGCCACCCAGTAATCAGTCCAATCCCCCCCCTGCAAAGGGATGAGGAACATCCCTGATCAATGGCCACTCGATCTCTGCAGACCCACTTCCTATAACTGAGCTCACTGCTTTGCAAGACTGTTTTCTTGTCAGACTGCTCCCATATTTAGTTAGAAAGTTACTCTTGCTGAGATGAAATCTGCTTCCCTGTAACTTCTACCCACTGAGCCAACCTCTTTCCTCTAAAATAAACACAAAATATACTTTCTCCCTCATCCACATGACAACGTTTCACATATAGTACCAACCACAGAAACAGGGCTCTCCAAATCTTCTCATACCACCCTCAGGCACCCCTTAATCATAACGATGTCCATATCTCTCATCCAAGTCACCATCATGTAACTATCAATATACAGGGAAGCAAACAGTGGCATATACGTTTATACAGCTTGATACCTCTCTTCATTTGTAGGCTAAGCCATTATAACCAAAAGTGGGTTATATAACAAAAGTGTTAAAGCAACTGGCTATTTAGAAAAAAATAGTTACACTCCTACACTCACTATACACTAAAATAAACTCCAGATTGATTAAAGGATTAAATGTTTAAAAAAAAAAAACCCATAAGAAACTAGAAGAAAACATAGGCAAAGAAAGGTCCACATGCGTGCAAGATCACTATAAATGAAAGCAATGGCAGAAAACAGTAAAAGAAAAGGCCGATGAGAGTCTACTTAAAATAAGAAATTTCTGAAATCTGATGCAAAAATAAATTCATCTCTGAGAGAACACTATCTTTCAGCTCATCACAGGTGGAAGAGTTCAGCTCTCAGCCCTAAGGCTAAGGTATAGGTGACACTGATTCCTGAAGGGTAAAAATTACTGAGAGTCTAAATCGACTCCAACATCCCACTTGGTCAGCCTGTAAATCATACTGTCCCTAGACCTTCTTCCAACTCTTACGCTGTGTGTGCCTCAAAGTGACTCGGTGGATCAAAGAACCTGCCAGAACAATGCCTGGGACCCCGCAGGCATGCAATGAAGATGTGTTCAATGAATGAAGGAAGGAGTGTTCCAGCTAGTACATCGTCCTCTCACCTGCCATGTGGCCTGCTGGAGCCTCGGACTCCCAGCATATCAAGTGGCATTGATCCTTTTCGTCTTCCACTCTGAGTGACACACAAGATACCTAGCCCCAGGTTATTCTAATTATCCATGGCAAATTTTTTATTGTCTCTCTCTCTCTCCCCCCCCCCCCGCCCCTACCTGAAACCCCTGGGTCACTGTCACCACCACAACCCTCACCGTGTTCCCAGACTCAAACTGTAGGCAATAAATTTTGTTTTTCTTAATAAATCACCCAGTTCCAGGTACTTTGTGATAAGCAACAGGAACGGACTGATACAAGGGAAAGAACAGAACTGTAAAAAGAATCAAGAATGGCTTCGCACTTCTCAAGCACAACATTGGAAGCAAACGGCAATTAAACAAATGCCTTCAAAATTCTAAAGAAAAATTATTTCCAATT